TGACTGTGTGTGTGGCTTGTTCTCCTCGCGAGATTTATCAGTCGTATTTAAAAAAAGAGACATTCACCGGCACAAAAAAATCAAATAGCAGAGAGATAAGGCCATACATATTTGTTTTGACCAGCACTAGCAGTTCTTTTCCATCCTGTTCTATCCTATGTCAAATAACACTACCCATCGAAGGAGACAGCTAAGCCTCATGTTTGGGTAACACAGGTCTTAACCATATTAATCGGTGTAACTTCACAACCTCGTCGATTAATTTCTCCCACCTCACTTACCTAGCAATCGACCGACGCCTCACCTTAATATTGCTCACCCCACTAAACCACTTAACACGGGAGATAAAACGTAGACGCCTATGATCAAAGACAACTAGCCAGGCTTTTCATGTCTTCTATTTTCAATGACCAGGTCTCACAGTCATAAAGGAGGGCACAGAGGACCGCTGAGCAGTACACACGTCCTTTGGTCGATAGTCGGATATCACGTCTACGCCAGAAATGACATATGAGAAACGAGCCTTCGAGGTCGAGTACAGTGCCTTGATCAGTGCAATGTATGTTCTCGACATTCCCTTCACAGCCAAACATCGCCAGAGTACCTCTCGGTCGACAGAATCCAATGACGCCTTTAGGTCAAGAAATATGACGATTGTTGGACGTCGGTAAATATGCCTATGTTCCATTCCAGAATGTGTCGAAGGGTGAAGATTCAATCAAAACGTCCTCTTCCTGGTCTATAGTCTGTCTGGCTCTCTCGTCTTTGTTCCTCCCAAGAACCGCTTAGCCTATGCATGATTATTGAGCCTAGAACTTTAGATACCATATTGGTCAAGTTGATCCCTCTGTGATTATCACAGGAAGACTTGTCTCCCTTCTTGTATATTGGGATAACCAATGACTGACACCAGGCCGACGGGACTATCTCTGACTCCCACACGCTGCCTAATACTCTAGATAACGCAGACAGTAAACTGTCTCCACCGTGCTTAAACACCTCAGGAGTCATTCCATCAGGTGGCGCTGTTTAGCCTCGCTTCAGATTAGTGACCGCTTTCGCAACGTCAGTTAGGGACGGAGGACCTGTGTTTATATTCCATTCAGGGGGGTGTTGGATGTGCGGTAAGTTGAGGTGGCTGTAGGCCAACTAAACTGCTCCTCAAAGTGTTCTTTCCTGCGTTCTAGTCGTCTATCCTGAGAGCTAATTATGATACCATTTTTCTCAGAGATTGTTTCACTTATCACTTGCCTCTTACCACCTGTTTCCCTGATCAGTCCAAATAGTTATCTGGTGTTACCTATCACCGATGCCTTCTCCATCTCTTTCACTTTTGTCGTCCACCACTTTTCACGGTCGTTGCGAAGACTTCTTGTTAGTTTGCGTTTGAGCAGCTTTCGCTCCTCATCATATTTGAAACCCGTCAGAATCAGTTTTCTTGCCTCAATTAGTTCGGATGAGGTAGTAGAAACCCACTAGCTCTTAGTAACTTTTGGTTTTAAGTTATTAACAGCATTTACAGCTGTGTCTACAGCTAACTGTGTATTGTGCTAGGCTTCCTCAGGATGGGGGGGGGGGAGCTCTTGCTGTTGATCTCAGACACTCGTTTCACTATTTCTTCCTTAAATAAGGACTCAGTATCTTGATTTAGTTGGTAACGTAACTGCTTCGCTGCCAACAGCTCCTTATGACCATTCAATCGTAAGCATAAACGTGCAAAAACCAGGGTGTGATCGGAGTCTACGCACGTGTTCCAGAAGGAGCGGCAGTCTTCTATTGACCTTCACCAACGATAGCCTATCGCTATGTGGTCTATTTGACTCCAGCGTTGATTTGGTGTTGGAGGTCGCCAGGTTAGCCAATGTCTCTCTTTGTGCCTAAAGTTAGTGCTCACTCGGAACAGATGATTATCTGAACAGAACTTTAGAAGACGATCACCGTTGTCGTTTCGTCATTAGGGAACTCCGTACCTACCACCTATATACTTCTCAGTCTGGTACAACTTCCCTACTTGGGCATTGAAGTCACCTGCTAAAATAAGTATATCTGAGCGTTTCGCTTTTTGCCGCACTAGACAGTTTCTGGTAGAAGTCATCCTTTAGTTCATCCGAACTTCAGTCTGTTGGAGCGTAAGCGGAGACTATGAAAAGACAACGATGGGTAACGCTGTCCTTCCCTCCTCTAACGGACCGCACACATACGACTATCTACTGGGATCCAGTCAAGAAGGGATTTTCCTGCCATAACAGTGAATGCTATCCCTACACCTGAGCGACCTGCAAGACTAACTAGCTGAGGAATGTCCTGTCACCCGTAATGTGAATTTTGAAGATTAACCTTGTTGGCTGATTGCGGTCAAGTGAATAATCACACTCGGGTCTTGTATGCATTTCACCGAAACACAACATACATCCCTGGCTCGAGATGCCAGAGTTCTGGCCAGTGATGCCTGTTGTCCGTTTTAGTAGAGGGTCCCTGACGTTAAATGCTCCAATATGAAGTTGTAGGTATGGCTTTAATAGATTATCGGGAGTGTTTTCCTGGCTCTCGTCGTTATTCGTGGTCACAGAATGAAATGAAGATGACTGTGGAACAGTATTGACAGTAGCAGGGAAAGGATGAGGGTGACGTGTATAAAGAAGAATCATGATAAGGAAGGTTTCATGTGCTTTAGGAAGTGTGTGGGCAGTTGTTATTTCCCGGCTGCCCACACCGTGGAAGTTGACTGATTCTTGGGGTACATGACACAGAAAGAGAATCAGTGTTGCGTGACCGCAAAGCCTAGGGGACATGTGCTTGAGAAGGGTTACACACGGCCTGTTTGACTTGGTTACTTATTAGTAATTTACCGCCGGCTACGTACTACCACTGTAGAGTAAGACGGGATGCACTATTCTTGTGGTCGACCTTTTCTAACCCGCTGCTCTTTCCAGAGTGGAGAGACAGCATAGCTGGTATGCTGGTCATCTGAGGGAAATACCTTACAACTGTTACATACCTGTTTCCCAGCAGTACGACTTTAATCACAGACCCCTAGCATAGTGTACAACAAACCGTACACTATATGCCAGTAACTGCTATTGGTCTAATCGCTATCCTAACAATCTTCCTGGCATGGTAGGACCTACAGGAACACTTATTCCGCCAGTGTAGCTTGTTGGGTCATCGTGATATGCAAAGCCCGACCACCACGTACGTCAAGGTAGCAGCTACCGGTCGGGTAAATAAGAAGTGCTTTAAGTAGAAGACACGTAAATGTGTTTAAGAAGTTACGCTTGCAACAAACAAATCAATGGCATGATAAGAAATCAAAAAAATATTTCTGGTCGTTAAAAGGAGGATTTAAGAGAAGTATTCTTACAAACGCAAAACTTCCAGAATCATACATTTATTTACATTCGACATCTACTGTTCATACAAAAATTTCCTGCAAACCTTGTAGTTGGATAATAACCACAACTAACTTTAAATACACAGTTAACCTAGTTGACCGTTGTCCGTGAAATGTTTGTGCTAGCTGACAGATGTGTATCTAAATAAAGCGTTTTTAAAATGCTTGACAAGAATATACCTTATATCTTTTGGCAACGGGATTGTGGGATTTTTCGACGTTAGACAAAATTCCTGAAAAACCAACTTGGTCTATGCTGGACGCCAGGGTGGTCCTGAAATCAATGCAGTTCGCCAGACCTCTCAAAACCTCTGACCCCACATCTTCCTGGTCCTACTTCAAACGGTCATCGTCCCAGTTATTCATATAATACCAACTGATGATCGAAGATGAAACATCCATCACTCTGCTTGCGCATAAGCAACACCAATGCCAAGACTGCAATAATGTCAGACATAAAGATGGTTTTAGCCAGCAACACTCACAACGGCTATCTTTGACAAGTCGACGTTCCCAACCAGCACCAGCCTGCCAAAGCATCGTCGGTGTTCGGACTCCTTGTCCCTCAAATGGCAGTATGCCCGTCTCTCAACCAAAGAAACCTCAGCTAGATGTTTCATTACGTTAAGTGATGCCAAACCCTCACATCTCGGGAAAGTGGTTTTCAAGCGCGCCGCCGCCGCTCACGCTCTGATAGGAAAGAGGCCATAAGTGCTCTAGACCTTGCAGTAAGCAGACCACTCTCTCAGCGCCGGTCGACCAGGTGCAGAAAGTGAATGGTTTGGTTCCAAGTTGACCCTTAATAATACGTCTTTTCTGAATGGGGAGATGATATGGTGGTCCATGTCCAGTCTGCAAATAAACCAGTCGCAACCGGCCAACGTAAAATAACGCCAATATTTTACTGATCATGATGGCAGACTAACTGAGACATCGCTGGTGACACTTTGAATTGTACATAGCGTAAAATATACTTTGCAGCTCACGTGTGTCCACGCTTAAGTAGTAGGGGCTGCGAAAACAGAGAGCTGTTGTCAAGCGGTATTAGTGATGAGCGCATTTGTCCAACCCGGTGTGTTCCCATTTCAATTTCAACGTAATCCGAATCATAACAACAATATTTACCAAACCCCTGATTACCTAATTTACATAATTCGTCGTGTAGTTTTGTTGGACAAGCAGCTGAAAATGCAGTTAGCGCTACTACTTAGAACAGCGTACACAAAGTAGTGTAATGTAGGGGTATTTATCTACTTGATTGTAAAACATTATGATAGATTACCCTCGTGTCTCACAGAAAAAGTTGGTGTGGAATTGCAACTTGATACCTAATGTATCAGAACGAAATATTAAAGCCAGTTGACCACACATCTCATCATATACATACGCACGCGCTGCTCTTAACTACAAGTGTTCTATTCTAAAAAATCTGCTGCAGCACTCAGTAGTAAAATATATTTCAGTTGCACAGTACACATTAAAACTAAAAACTGATAATGCTACGAAATATATATTTTTACATCATATCCACTAAAAAAACAGAGATAGTACAACAAACTGTATATATTTATAATAAATCTTCCACAGTTCTTATCAAGAGAAACATAATTTACTCAGTTACTGAATCTTCAGTAGATTCTAGGGGACAACCTGCACAAATAGCCTTGTACATAGGACTTTGATCATGTGAAAAAATAGTGATTGTACGGTTAGCATAATAAAAATCATCTTGTTCAAGATTACGGATAATTTCTTCTAGTATATGAGCTCTGCCTGCGATAGTGCCACTATCGCCTGAATCTACATGCATGAAGTGAACATGAAGCCTGTAAAAAGTTGGTGGATAATGTAAATAGGCAAGAATTTGATCCTTTGATAGACCAACTTTGTGACCATTATGACACGTCTTATTATCAGAAATATCCGCCGGCTTGCTGTATTTATCAGAAAGTAGATTGCGTCCCTGCTGCAGCATCTTTCTCAACATTGGAACATGACAACGACGCAGATCACGTAGGCAAGTTAGCTTTGCATTATGAGCAATACCGAGGCAATGGAGTTCTTGCAAGCGTGTTCCATCCCACTGATAGTCCAGTACCAGTGTGAAACCATACTCTTCATTGACATCAGTGTAAAGAACACGGTCTTGTTCAGCGGTTCCTGCTATTATATTATCAATCCAAGTGAGGTCTTTCGGCTTTTCAGACAAGAAAGGAAGAATAACGTCTTTATACATTTCTGGAGTTTCCTGAATAATATGACGACCAGAACCGGTAAATTTCGCAAAGTGATGTGACTCAGCAGGATAAATTACAGTCATATCAACACTGTTAACTGACTCCAAACCATTTGTTACAAGGAAGCGATGGTACACATCATTACTCATAATTGATTTGGCTTGCCATTCAGGAAAAGAGGAGTTATTTTCTTCAATATTCACTGATTCATCTTGTTTAAGACAGCTGTCTTCTTCATTGTTATCTTCCTTATGGACGATCAGTTTGTTAACTACTTTGCAACGTTGTAAAGTGTCAGCATCGTTTGGAAATGATGACTTTTGCAGGGTTACAATGGCTTCCTTTAAGTCATCGCCAAAACGCGTGTGAAGCACCAAACACTTGCTGCGAGGATCATTTCGAAGCACAGAAACTAAATGCATATTTTCGGGGCAGAAAGACATAGAGTCTGTTGAGGCATTATTAGTAGAGCAGACAGAGGACACATCAAGCCGAGCACGCTTTTTTGGAGGCACGGGTGGAGTATCACCTATTAGTCGAAACGAATTATCTGACATTTCCATCTGTACTGACGACTTCAATAGCTATTATGTCAGACTCACGAATCCGAGCTCTGCGAAGAACACCGGTTGGTGTATGTAGGTTTCTCACGTAAACAAAGTTTGATTGTCGATCGGGATCGAAGTTGATAGTTAGATCTGAAGGACACCAAATGTCAAGAGTAGCCTTGAGAGGTTGTTTAAGATTAGCTAAATGAAGCAAAACTGAAGTACCGTTGATAAGAGTTAGCAGCAGGTGCACGTAATTTAAACGCGGAATTAAGGTAGAGTTTTCTTTGTCAATATCATTCGCAGACATTCATTCAACCAGAATAGACGGTGAAATTAGTTCGGTGGAGGAGAGTTATTGAAGGATCGTAGTAAGGTCGAAGAAATGATGACCCGTCAGCAGGGCCTACAGTCTACAAATAAATAAATACTTTTACAATTAAGTGCAATTAATAATAGATGGAAGATTGAACCAGTTGATTACAACAATATTTTATAGATATTCTTAATCATTATTCAGAGACTAACTAAGAACCCAAGGTTTACTTGAAATCTATTCGCCTAACCTTTAATTATGTGATCATAAGTTTAAACTTTGCTCTGTCCAGTGCAGCTTTTACAATTATTAGAAGGTAGATACAGTTAACCTAATGGGTTCCTATGTGCTGTCTAGGTTGGTTACATTACAGTTATCTTAGGAGATAATCAAGGACAGAGATTGGTAAATGTTGATAATACTGAGGGCGTAAGCATTTTGGTATAGCTTTATAATTCTATTCACAGTACAAACTGCTTGAAACCACAGGTACAGGATACCACCAAACAGGTGGATTTTTGATGCTATAATCAACATAGAAACATACGTCTGAGTTTACATTTGAACAAGAAGACATGTGAAACCAATACCAACCAATTTGACTGTTGTCGGAGTGATTCATTTAAATATATACAATTGAAATACCCAACAATAAATCATACTTTTCAGTTTTCAAGGAAGCGATGATAAACAGTAGTGTATACCCTCCTGACAACTTGATGCCATATTTTGAAGTTAGTCGAAAAGAGAATTATAGACTTGTTATCAAAACAGACACACATAAAAGTGTAGACATTTGTGTTAATGTATTTTGCAGACCACTTATTACGTTAACGTTAATTCTGTACAACATACACTGAAACAGATACACAAAAATAAGCCAACACTGGTGATAGGCTTTGCAGAGTGGAAGGCATAAAAAGATTAGCTGTCTTCGATCATAGGTGTCTGCGTTCCATCTCCAGCGTGAAGTGGTACAATAAGGTGAGCAATATTGAGGTTAGGCGTCGAGTGTTAGGTAAGGAGGGGAAATCAGTCGACGAGACTGTGAAATTACATCGACTGAGATGGTTAGGACATGTCTTGCGTATGCCTAGTCCTACCCACTGCCTTCACGTGGCGGAGGTGTTTTTCACCAAAGTGAGAGGACGAAAGTGGATGCCCGGCGCTCTTCACCGGGTTGACTGTCCATTGGATGACAGTCTAGGGGAGATGGCTAAACCCTGATTCCAAACTTCCAACGACTGGCGTATGAAGCTCACTGGAGCTCACCGGGAGACGTATGGACAAAGGGCTTGTTGGATGTCCTGGATGTCTGGCCCCATTCAAAAAGGCGTATGAACCGAACTCCGGTCACCGACTGCCAATGGATAGTGGACTCCCTACTCCACTCCTACTGCCTTGTAGGTCACACTTGGTTGTGTAAAGGCTAGAGCTGCACTCTCAAACAAAAGGCCGAGCGATTCTGGGAACATCACTCGTACCAAATTCCCATGAAACTTCATGAACTCTCTTACCTAATATGGAGTGCCTGGGGCTACAAACCGTCTACGGACTCCGTCTGTGGAACAAGAATTGGATAACCCTGTCGCAAGACCTTGCGTCAGATCGCCGCGCCTGGGCAGCGATGATTCGAGATGTTCATGAAGCCGGCTCATCCTCCCGTAGGAGATAGCCGAAGTAAAGCAAAGCAAGCCTTCCTCGACGGGCAATGTTAGCTGATATAGGGTCAGGTTGGGAAAGAGCTAGCGGCGGTCAAACGAAAACATGGCACCAGTCAATGAAATCTACAACAGTTAGTCTAAGCCACGCAGGAAGGTGTAGACTTCCTGATTGGGGTCCTCAGGATAGTAAAAACCAATGGTTGGAAACAATGGGTGACATGGCTCAAAATCGTTCTCAATGGTTAGCGCAGATGCATCCACTCCTTGTGACTTATGATTTCCAATGAAACTGTTTTGTTCTTCATTATTACTATACCTTTGTCTCACACCTCTGTTTACTGTCTATATTATGCATTTCTCCTACTTTCTTCTCTTCCTTTGTGTGATACATGGAGTGTGACGACTTGAACTGCCGCACATTGGTGCAAAATTCTATGCCGAAAACCGACCGACCGACCGATAGGCTTTCAGTAAATAAAGACTGATGATATGTCATACGCACATCTGCACACATAATACTAACCAGATAAATGATAGTCATGACTGCAACTAACCATTCTTTAGTTGCCAAATCAGGTGAAAGAAAAAAACAAACAGCATAAACTGTGCTGTTGAAACGACGCGCATATCATACAGAAACTAATCACTTGATACACTGACCGGTTGATGTGGGACAACTTCCAAAAGTGCTACCGGCAAGGTTTCACACCAACCAACAGTATAAAAAGTGAACAAGTCTGCACAGTTGCTAAAAGTAGGAATGAATGAAAGAAGACTTAGAATATTTCGTTTCACGGGGATGAACGTACCTCCGCTTATGGTGCAATTAAATCTGAGTCATGTTACTGAATGCCACACGATTAATCCCACAAACAATGAAGAGTCCCCATACATACTTCAGAACAAAGATGAGAGAGACGGTAGAGATGATGTGCTCAGCGCCTTCGCCCAACAAATCCCATTTTAGCTAAGGTTTTTCATTGAGAAAGATAGTGAGTGGCTATTTACATGGAACAACCCTCTCAGATAGTAAATTCCGTGACTGTTCCATAAACCAGCTTTAATAGTATCGAGTCTGAATTATCATCCTTTACATAAAAAATAAAAAACACTTTGGTTTTTGGTAAAGGCTACCCAGTGACTTTTATCTAAGCGACTTTAAATCATTGGACATATAATATCAATGCTCATTATCACATTGTTTGCTACATATACGTAAATAGAATTAGCAATTGACAAAATAAAATACCGAGTGAATCAGTGAAATTTCATCCTTAGAGTGAACATGCATACAGCAATGACCTAAAAACTTGTCTTCACTGTCAATTAGATCTTGGGCCCAATGCAACTAACGTCTGGTTAGATATCACAAAAACTTTTGCCCTTTTTTATATGCTGGGACAACAAACGATCCAGTCTCATGAAAGTGCTCTTTGTTATGTGCTTACGAGGAGACATATTTTGAAAAACTCTTTTGTAATATTTTAATTCCCAAGTGGCTTGTAGTTACTCTAAACAATGATCGAATCAATCATTTAATGCACTGCATAAGCAAGCCTAATAAGAATCACCTCGCGAACAAGACTAACCAAACACTTCAATATATCGGCAACAGTAGCATGCACAGTAAAGGTACAGTGATGACACAGGCCCCTATATAAATGAAGCCAGCACCTATTCAATTAAATAGAATAGTTATCCATCATCTAATTCAGCATATGGATAGCCTAAATGTTTGCCAGTTGTACTAGAGCAAGCTACAAGAATGACAATCTACGATACTGCCTACTATATAGATTCTGCTACAAGTTGGCAGAAGAAGTATCAAAGATAGGACTTCACGTGAACATAGGGAAAACAGAGGTGATGAAGATTCCTGGACAAGAACAACAACAACAGACAACGATCAGAATAAATGGGAGGAATCTGAAAGTAACAACCTCTTTTACCTACCTGGGAAGCATCGTTTCAACTACAGGCAGACGGAACTGACGAGGATATCAAAGCAAGGATCGAGAAAGCAAGACAAGCTTTCAATACTCTTAAGTCTGTGTGGAGATCAACAGCACTCAGCTTCAAAAATAAGATCCGGATTTTCAACTCCAATGTGAAGTCAGTGCTACCATACGGATCAGATACTTGACGCCGCGTCATAAAGAGCATCTCCAACAAACTACAGACCTTCATTAACAGTTGTCTTCGCTCAATCCTACTCAAGATCAGATGGCCAGAAAAGATCAGCAACAGAGATTCCTGGCAATGAGCGAACCAACAAAGAACCGATTGTGAAACAAATAGGCAGGAAGAAATGGAGATGGATTGGTCATACTCTGAGGAAACCATCAGGTGACATCACTAGACAAGCTATTGCTCGATTGGAACCCGAAAGGGAAGCGGCGAGTTGGTCGTCAGTACGAGGGTGACTTGGAGGAGGTCATGTGAAGAGGAAATGAAAGCGTGTGGGCAGACTTGGAGCCAGGTGAAGACACTAGCAGAGAACCGAAAGCAATGGAGACGCGCGGGTGAAGCCCTATGTCCCTCTGGGAATTAAAGGAAATAATAATAATAATATACTATATGATGCACGAGAACAGTAGGCAAGGCAGTGTTAGGGTTAATTCGTGTTAACTTTCACAATCACAATCACAAAATCATATATATGCGCCCACACTATTAAGCGACAATGTTTAAAATCCAAAAGATACAGTAAAATTAATTTTTTCTACTTTCATCACCTGCAAACAACGCGGAACAGGAGGAGGAAGATTTTTACAGACTGCTGTACAAAAACAGTATTAGACAACATCCCGAATGGTGACATCAAAATCCTCATTGGGCATTATGAATGCAAGCCAAACTGGGAGCAGATAATACAGGAAGAGAACTCAATCATCACCGATCAAGAGGCTCTTGAAGAAATGAAAGAGATGGGAGATTTATCTGCATACTTCACTTCAACTGCGATGATTTGGTAATCGGAGGCAGTGGGTACAAGCACAAGGATATCGACAAAGCAACATGGATTCCGCCTAATGAACTTGCTAGCAATCAGATAGATTTTCATGTCAATGCTGCTCAAGGAAGTGGAGATGCAGTCTGCTGGAAATAAAGTCGAGAAGGGGAGCAGGTGTGGGGCTCAGACCATCACCTAGTTCAAGGAACCTTCTAGGTGAAACTGAAATCCCTCAAAACAACTGGAGACAGGCTACAACTTAAGTTCAACATTCAGCAACTGAGGGACAAAACTACGAGGGTAGCCTTCAATACAGACCAGAGCAAAGTCGGAGACACTACTTAGTATCACCGAGGAAACATGCGTGGAAGACTGACTGACTGGTTTTAA